TCCGTGTCCGTGTCCCCATCCGTGTCCGTGTCCGTGTCCCCATCCGTGTCCGTGTCCCCCGCAGGACGTCCTGGGCTGTGTCTGCATCAACCCCGGGCGCTTGACCAAGGGCCAGGCCGGGGGCACCTACGGGCGGCTGCTGCTGCGGAGAGAGCGGCCAGGGGACAGAAACGGGGACAGGGATGGGGACAGCAACGGGGACAGGGATGGGGACAGAAATAGGGACAAAACCGGGGACAAAACTGGGGACAACGGGGACAAAACCGGGGACAGGGATGGGGACAGAAATAGGGACAAAACCGGGGACAGAAACGGGGACAGGGATGGGGACAGGGATGGGGACAGGGATGGGGACAAAACCGGGGACAGAAATGGGGACAGAACTGGGGACAACAACAGGGACAGAACTGGGGACAAAACCAGGGACAGAAACGAGGACAGAACAGGGGACAGGGATGGGGACAAAACCGGGGACAGAAACGAGGACAGGGATGGGGACAGGGATGGGGACAAAACCGGGGACAGAAATGGGGACAGAACTGGGGACAGCGACGGGGACAGGGACGGGGACAGGGATGGGGACAAAACCAGGGACAGAAACGAGGACAGAACAGGGGACAGGGATGGGGACAAAACCGGGGACAGAAACGGGGACAGAACTGGGGACAGAACTGGGGACAGCGACGGGAAGAGGGATGGGGACAGAAACATGGACAGGGATGGGGACAAAACTGGGGACAGAAATGGGGACAACAACGGGGACAAAACCAGGGACAGAAACGAGGACAGAACCGGGGACAGGGATGGGGACAGAACCGGGGACAATCCTGCAGAGAATGCCGGGGACATTCCCAGGGACATTCCCAGGGACATTCCCAGGGACATTCCCAGGGACGCCCCCCGGAGCAGCCCCTGCGTGGCCGCCCAGGTCGTGAGGATTTGAGCTCCCAGCTCTGCCCGTTCCCACCCAGGGCTGCAGGGGAAGGAATTGGGGTCAAAACTCCTGGAATTCTGGTTAAAACTCTGGGAATTCTGGTTAAAACTCCTGGAATTCTGGTTAAAACTCTGGGAATTCTGGTTAAAACTCCTGG